TGGGCTGAATTGCACAAAACGCATGATCGCACCGGCTAGTCTGGTGCGCGTTGCTATTTATTTCTTACTCGCGTGCTACATTGTGTGCTTTGCTTCTGTTGCATAGTTGTAAAATTTTTATTGCCCGACAGTCAGCTGACATTAATTCGTACCACCTAAGCCTAGCTAGAAAAAATGCGTCTTTTCTGTGCATGTTTGAAGCTGCTAAGGTTTGTCCGTTCGTTGTTCGACTATTCCGCGACCACACTGAGGTGTCTGGGTCGGAATTTGCACTTCCAGTAGTGGTGGCTTAATTCTTTTAATGAATATTCAGTGGCTTGTTCGCGAAGCGGTTCGTGCCATGGAGAGATATGGCGACAATGTACGCCAGCACGCTGTTTATCAGTTTGCTCAGCGATTTCGTCTTTCAAAGGTTTTCGCTTAATTCTTTCATCATACATGAGATGCGCCGTACGTTGAAAAAACGGCATCAGATGAACATTGGAAGAGGAAGCTCTGTAGAATTGATTAGTGGTGCTGTGCTTTGAAGTCTATTATCATAGTGATCTGCTGATTTTTCTCGACAGTGAATTTTCCACGTGTAAGAGCAATGGCGTCGCTAACAGGGGGTCCCCCACCGCTCATTCATTCCTGTGGTTCTGATATTCTTGTCATATGTGCTGCAGTTAAGTATTTGTTGTTCTTTTTTGAATCAAATGTTTTTTTTTTTGAATAAGTTTACGGGATCTCCTCTTGGCTAGCCTCCTGATGATCCTGAAGTTTGTTTCTTCTCCTGAAGGGATTGTCAGCTCATTTCTTCCCCTAACAGAGTTTAAATTGGTCCCGGATATCATTTGCTTCATCACCTTGCCCCGAATGCGGCCACACCAAATCACAGTTACTGTGCCGACTATGGGAACACTCAGCATACTTTTGATTTCCAATGTTTTTCCTTTCTTAAAATTCATTTAGCTCAGGATAACGAAATGGAAAAGCGGAAGAATATTTTTTTAAATAATTGCCGCAATGTGAGATCCATGTGTGCACCGCAACGCATCTACAAATTAACAAACGATTTCAAAACTTCAAACTTACAGACGGATGTTCGGAGCACTCTGCTCGAATACGGATGGTTCGTTTCAGCCCAGATTGGCATGCGTCAGCAAATTTCAACTTGTCGAGTATATTGAGTAAATATAATTTCTTATAAATTGGTTACATTGCTGAATGTACCCGAATATGAGGAATTGGTAAGTGGCGGTGCTCTCATGCCGACCATTCGGCTCGGCTTGTAAGACATTCCCTCTATGATCCGTTCACTGGTTTCGATCAGCTTTTGTAGAGATCGCGGGTGAATAAAGAGGAAACAAAACTGTCACCAGCTTACTTTTAAACAATTCTCAAAAGAGAAAACCATCGACACTTTTGCTAGCGGGTTCTTGCCGCTGGCAGTTGTTACCAATCGGGCAACTTCGTAATTCTGTCCGGTAAAGAGTGGATGCAGAGATGGAAGAAGGGGGAGGGGATGAGGGAGGGGAGGTTGAATTTTGACGAAAATAATTTTTTCGAATTTTCTTTGCTTTATTGCATTGTTATGAATTCCTTAATTCAGGAAAGCAGCCTCGGATACCACACTTCAGAAAAGCGCAGAAGCTCAGGCAGTCGAAGATACCACTGTTGATCTGGTGCGTCTCAAAAAACATTGCAGTTTACTTTGGAAAATGGCTATATGCCATAGCAAATGACGTTGTTTGAGACTGAAATTAAGAAATTTTTGCAAAAAAATCGATGCACTTTCATTTTTTTTTGAAGCACTGATGAACTGAAAGTTCTCCCTGAAAGTGCAGTCAGGTAGTCCGGAGTGAGAATTCAGTAATTGTTTGTGCATGCGCGTCTCTGTCTGTGTGTATTGAGTGGTTTTAGGAAATTAATCAACTTCTGAAGGAGCTGCCCAAAACGGAGATTCCCCAGGATCAGAAGCAGCGTCTTTCGACGAAAACACTCGCGCAGCTTATCGACGTTTCCGAGCTGGCCGATACAGTGCTTAAAAATGAAGTTTGATTGTTCATATATAATCTTTATGCAGTTTGATACCCAGTCCTTCCTTCTGATTTGTCTAAATGTCAGTTTTATTTCCAGGCCGATACCGCTCAACAAAGGGAGTTGCCTACGCTGAGCAGCGCGTCCGATCTGGAAAGCCAAATAGCAAAGGTGTAATTTTTTTGACAGCAATTTTTTATTACAAAGTTGAATGAATTTGAAATTTGCCTAAGAACATGAGTTCTGTCCTTGAAAATTTTCCACGGTTTGTCGTAAACTTGCTTTTTTCATGGTCTCTCTATTCCTGTGCTCAATTAATAGTGCATATATAGGAAAAATTTTATGTTCTGGGACGTGCCTTAACTTGGTTAAAAAATTGGAAAATTTGAGTGAAGCGTTGATGCTCAACAGAAGCCAAGTACATCGCGAAATAGCTAAAATCCTGCAAAGTGGGGCGGTACGGAGACGAAACGGGCTTAAGGATCATTGGGCTGGTCATCGGGCGATGTAGCATTGGCTAAATCATCCGGGCGGGGTGTCAATTGTTCCTCCAGGATCCAGGAATTCATGATGTGCAATTTTATTTTTAGCTGGAAGAAGAAGAGAAGTTTCTGGATGATTCGCTGAGAAGTTTGCAACAAAGAGAAAAAGAGCAAATCGAGGAAATGAATGAGATCGATGCAAGAATTGCAGATTTCGATAAGCTTGTGAACAGCCATGACAAAGAGTATGCTGTAATACGCCCTTGACATTGTAGCTTGGTTCAGCACACATACAAATAAGGCAGTTTTTTTCAGGACTGTTGAAAGGCTGAAGCATTTGTTGATGGAGCACGACGAGATTCGTAAGCGCGAAACTGATTTTAAAGCA